TCAGTATTTGAATGAGGCGCCGATGATGGTAGAGGATGTGATGTGGGAGGACAAGTCTGGGGCGGTAAGCCGTCGCGGGACAATGCGTGGAAGAATTTTCAGTTCTGGTGCTCAATAGTTTACCAACCGGGTTAATCCCTCCTTCTGTTCCAATAAATATTACAGTACATTTTTACATGGCAACACGGAGAAAGTGAAGATTAGAATTAGAATGTAATTGGGAGCAGAATTAGAATGTAATTAAAACAACATTTTATAAATATTTTATTTGAATTCGGTCAAACCATTATAGTCGTGCAGGCCTGTCTAATACCACCCTCCAAACGTGCATGCTCCAAATAATATAAACTTTTGAATTTAATTTGAACATAATTCTATATGTATCATATGATTACTTTAATTTTTAATAGTCTTATTCCAACCGAGAAAACTTCCAATTAATTAGGCAAATTATTGTGTGGACCATAACAAAAAGTACATTTTTATTATACTAAACGTACATTATTTTTGTGTTGAATGTACATTATACAATATAATGTACACTCAAAACAAAAATAATGTACATTCCCTGAATACAATGTATATTATTTTTGTACTGAGTGTACATTATTTTTGTTACTGAATGTACATTATTTTATAATAGACAAAATATGGTCCAAACAACTTGTATGAACCATGGTCCACACAATAATGATTGAATTAATTATTAAGAAAATATCTAGTAATTCATTAAGAAGACCAGAATCACAAAAATCTTCCTATAATCATAGTTTTTTTTTTTTTTAATGCGCGATGCACAAAAATATATGCCCAATATTTATATTTTTAAAAATAACTAACAAATTTTTACTAATTCAAATCTAAATGAAATAAAATTTATTTATTATATTAATCCAATATATAATGCCTACAAATATTATTATCATTATATTAAAGAATATAAGAAAATATATGGTGGATACATGTGCATGGTAAAAGTAATGGAAAAGATAACGGAAGTTATAATGGTAAGAGTATTTTTATCCAAAAAATTATATAGTACAACACTACAACTTTAAAATTAAAGTACAATATACAAAATGGTTAACACTAAAAACATAGACATAAATTATGAATATAACTTTGATTGAGACTTATTATGTTTTTGGATATCACTATCCACAACAATCACACCACTTAATTTAACATATAAAATAATTATACTCTTTATAATGAAAATTCGATATATAAATTGTGATTATCATTGAATTCATTGTATTTGTTTTTAGAATTTTTTGAATAAGATGACTTAATTACCGAAATGGTCATATTAACTATAGTGAAATTACCAATTTGGTTTTTGACTATTTTTTTTAACCAATTAAGTTCTTCAACTTTAAAATTCTTAACCAATTTGGTCATCCGTTTGTTTTGCCGTTAGACATTCCTTAACTTGGGACCAAATTGATAATTTTGTTATAGTCAAGAGAACATTTCGGTCATCACATATACCATTTCCTCTGAAAATTTAATTACCGAAATGATCCATTGACTATAGCAAAATTACAAATTTGGTCATGATAAGTTAACGGATGTCTAACGGTAAAACAAACGGAGGACCAAATTGGTTAAGAGTATGCTTGGAAACTCGGAAAATGATTTCTGAAAATCATTTTTCGAGTTTCCAATGTTTGGATGTGTCTGAAAAATCAAGTCAAAGGAAAACACTTTGGAAAATATGCTTGTTTTGGAAGAAAATGACTTCCCCTCTTTTTTTGAGAAGTCATTTTCCAACTTTTACACTAACACCACATCACCACCACTACCACCACCAGTACAAGACCACACTACCACCACCACCCGCTACCACTCGCCACAACCACCACCACACCACTAATTACTATTATTATTATTATTATTATTATTATTATTATTGTTGTTGTTGTTGTTGTTGTTGTTGTTGTTGTTTTGATATCTTATTATTGCTTTCCAAACAGACCCTAAGATTTTTAAAATTGAGAGACTTAATTGGTAAAAAAAAAAAAAAAAATTGTCAATGATCAAATTGATAATTTCGTTATACTCAATGGACATTTCCATAATTAACCCGCATAAGATTTACAATGTAGGTTTGGTTATTAGATCATAGCTAGGCTTTGCTCCTTTCTAATCCAAATTAATGCACCTCCACTTATTGCACGTTTTCAAGCCCTTCACTTTTATAATACAAGTAATTTAATCAAATATCATTATTAATATATTATCTTTATTCTTTTAAGAGTCAAACTAAATATATAATTAGCTTAGTGAACTCAATCTTTGACCTCATAATTAATTTTTTAAATAAAAATGAAAGTATTAGTGCAATGACATGCTTATTAATTAATCCAAAATTTGAAACTCACATCTTCCTAGTCCAAGATTTTTGTTCCCCTATCAATGGACAAATAAAAGTTGACATTGGTGTTTTATAAGAGAAGACCTTGAACGTGGAGGCTACTAGTAATAAGGTCAACGGCATGGTTAATTAGCAAAATTTTGGTGATTTAATTAGCTTGTTTTGATGTGCCAGAAAGAAAAAAAATGTTTGTTAGATCTTTATACTTTCTTCTAAGGAAAATATATTACATGTATTATTGAAATTTGAGGGTTTATACTTTTAACATAGTCCATATTGAGTAGGTAGGGAAAAAAAAAGTAGAAAAATCAAATTTACTTAAAAGAAGTGTAGGTAAATTAATGAAATATAAATATTTAGTTTACCCATGAATTCTAATAGTAAATCAATAAAATTTATGATCATTATCATTCTTCCAAAGGTCCCTCTATGGGCTAGACCGGTGCTCACTGCGCACAAGGAGCCCCCCCTCACTTTGAAAGGTTGCTCGCTGATGAGACTCAATCCCTGGTCATTCTTCCAAAGTTTCACCTCTATGACCAATTGAGCTACCCATGTGGGCTCATTATCATTATCATTATTATTAGGCTTGGTATGTAGTGTTGTGTGATTGTGATTGTGATTGTGATTGGATGAAAATGTCAAATAGTTGGTAATGCTATGCTTATCCCCGCAATATTCTCACTTTCAAAAATGAGTCTACTTTCACATCACCCAATTTTGCAATTCATTTACTATTCATACTACATCTCTGCAAATTCAATTAACTTTTAAAAGTGGACCCCAATATCACAACAATTTAAAACATTAACTCAAAACTATAAAAATAAATAAATAAATAAATAAATAAAAGTACTACATGGTAGCCTTTGATGCCATTTGGTAGCAAAGGCTGGCATCAAAGGCGGCCAAGTTTGCTGAAACAGCAAACTTGCTATCCTATGTGACAAACTAAGCAATAAAAAATAATTTTTTTAACGCCCTTACCTAGTAAATGAACCATTTCCTGGGTTGAGGTTAGCCTAAGACCGCTACAAATTTCATCTCCTCATAAAAGTGATCAAATTAGTAAGTTTAACATTTCTTGTCAAATTAGTAAGTTTAAATTTCTTGAAATAAAAGTTAGGTGATATATTGGTAAGAAGTGAAAATTTAATTGAAGATTATAGTAAAATTGTGGGTGAAAATTCACTAAGGGTGCGTTTGGAAACCCGAAAAATGACTTCCAGAAAACGTTTTTTTGAAAAATGAGTCATTTTTCAGAAAACATTTTTCTTTCCGGTGTTTGGCTACACAACGGAAAACTGTCTTTGTGTGTTTGGTTCATTTTCCAGAAAATGAGTAGGAAAATGAAAAGAATTAAATACTTCAAAATTTTAATTATTTGATACTTTTGATAAAATCCTTTTGTGAATAGCACTCTTTTGATAATATATATATATATATATATATATATATATATATATATATATATATATATATATATTACTACTGTCAAAGCGGGCCGCCCCGCCCCACCGCAGGCCTAATTTATGGCGAATTTTTACGCGTCGGCCCACCAGGTAAGATTCATGCAACCCTAACCCGTCCTGCGGGCCGGCCGACATTTTCTTTAAGCTTTTGTCTTTGTTGAATTCAAAGTTCAGAAAAAAAAAAAAAAACCAAAAAAAGTAAAGTCTACAAATACTAACATTGTAAATTTGCAATCCAACTTTATAGTCTAACAAAAATTAATATTAATTCAAAGTTCAAGAAAATAAGTAAAATCTAAAAATAATATTAATTTTTTCGTATTCAAAAATTAATTAAAGTTATATATAAATAAATAAATAAATAATTAATTAATTAATTATATATATATAAATATATAAATATATATATATATATATATATATATATATATATATATATATATATAATGTTACACAGCAAGACAGCTGTGTAAGTGTTACATATGTTAATAACATATGTTATAGTGTAACATATGTATATTTAGTATATATATATTTTTGCGCATGCCGTGGGTTGGTCCACGGGCTGCAAGTCAATTTCGTCCCATCCCGTTAGACTAGCATTTTTGCATGTCTATTTTTCTATGACCTTAACCCGTCCCACCGTGGGGTGGAGGCGGGCAAACTCGTAGGTTTTGGCCCACTTTGACCAGGTAAATTTGCGGGTTTTCGCCCACTTTGACAGTACTATATATATATATATATATATATATATATATATAACATTTTAAATAATATAACTTTTTTAAAAATTGTTAAATATGATTAAATTAATATTATTTGTAGGCTTTACGTTTTTATTTTTTGAAGTTTGAATTCAAAAAAAAAAAATTGCGAGTCGGCCGCGGGGCCCGCCAACCTACATGGGGCGGGCTTTAGGTGCATGTACCCTAGCTTGCGGGTCGCAAATTATGCCGTGGAAACGTGTTCACCATGCTTGGTGAACACGCTTCCAAACGACGTCGTTTTTGGTGTCTCTTAAAAAATAAATAAATAAATAAATTGTTCTATTAACGGCGTTAGCACCGAGTTTGAAGGCAGTTCTGATTTGGCAGTTTCACAATTCTTTGCGGTTGATTCGATTCGACATTCGCGATTCTTTCCTATTCGCGATGGAGGAGACTGCGGTTCGAGGAGAAGATTCGATCGGTGATTTGATTTCTGTGATTCCAAGTTCGTTCGATTTTATGCGTTTGATTTCGTTTGATTTATGAGATTTAGCATGTTGAAGATTTAGTTTGTTTTTATTGGTATTTGTTCAGTATCTATGCAGTTTGAATGTTCATAATATCGCAATTGTGTATTAGTACCGTGTTTCTGTTATGAATTTTTACAATATGAGATTATGTATTTTCTGTTACGCAATTATGAATTTTGATACTCTGTTCATGCATGTGGTATGAATGTTCATAATGTAACATTACTATGTTCATAACATATTAACTGGTATGTTACACTGTTTGCATATACTCAGTGAATGAAGATTTTGTTGGTGATTCAATAAGCACTGATAAAGCAGAGTTAAACATTGACATTGCTGGCCCGTCTTCAAGTCCATGTTCTTTTATTAGCTTGTGTATCATGAATGTGGTTTCTGGTAGTTGTAAGTACTGATTCATGGTGATTATATGCAATTTGAATATCAGTAATGTTGTGATTGGTATTAATACTTAGTTTCTGTTATGAATTCACAGTTTTGAGGTTATGAATTTTCTGTTATGTTATTATGAATTTTCTATATGATATTATGAATTTTATGTTATGAGATTATGAATTTTATGCTATGAGTATATGAATTATGTGTATCTGCTATTGATGGACAATATGTTCTTCTTATGTAGAGCATGACTGGATTTATTCGGCATTCCCCGTCCCCCCTCTACTTAAATGAAGAATATATTTCCATCAAACTTATTTCTGTTATGATATTATTTACTATCTATGCGGCTTTGAATGTCCATAATGTCACAACTAATATTCATACTCTGTCTCTGTTATGAACTTTCTGATATGATATTATGAATTTTATTCTATGTGATTATGAATTTTCTCATATGAGATTATGAATTTTCTATTGTAGCATATTATATTCATTATAGGTGAACTGCACATTCATATTTTAGTAGTTGGTATAGGTGTGGTTATATTTTTGTTGCAATTGCAGTTGATGAAGACTTGGTTGGTGTTGTAGTAAGCAATGGTGATGAAGCTTTTGAGTTATATAATGGATATGCATACAGAGTTAGTTTTAGTGTGAGGAAAGGCCAACAACGTTATAAGGCATCTACTAAGTCAATTCAGATGAAGAGGTTCTTCTGTGCTAAGGCTGGGTACAAGGAGAAACCAAATAGTGGTGTTAAGCTTTATTTAAAAATTGATATAAGGAATGGTTGTGGTGCACTTGTTCAGTTTGGTGTGGGGGGTGATGAGATGTGGACAGTTATAAAACATGTGAAAGAGCACAATCATGAGTTATGTTCATTTGGCAAGAGTCATCTGCTCCGTTCGCATAGAAGAGTGGGAAATAATCATCTTGAATATTTAAAAGATATGAAGAATAGTGGTGTTGCATTGGCGGATGGTATGAGGTTTTTGAAACGTCAGTCAGGGGGTTCTCCATTGGTTGGCTTTACCAACCGCGATGCTTACAATTTGATGACTTCTGAGAGTTTGAAGTGTTTGGATGGAACTGATTCCAATTCTTTGATTGAAATATTCAAGAGGAGGCAATCTAATGAGGTTGATTTCTTTTTTGATTTTGAAGTTGATTTGGATGGAAGATTGTGTAGTTTTTTTTTGGAGAGATGGTCAAATGAGAAGGGATTATGAGGTGTTTGGTGATTTGTTAGTGCACGATACAACATATCGCACTAACAAATATGATATGATTTGTGGTCCTTTTGTAGGGATGAACCATCATTGCATGAATGTAATGTTTGGATGTGGGTTTTTGATGAATGAGAGGATAGAGTCATTTGCGTGGTTGTTTAGAGCGTTTTTAAGATCCATGGATGGCAAGTGTCCACAAACTATCATGACAGATCAATGTTCAGCTATGGCTGCTGGCATTTCTATGGTGTTTCCTACATCACGTCACCGTCTTTGCATATGGCATATTGGTGAGAATTCGAAGAAGCATATCAAGGCATTAAGGAATCATAAGGATTTTCTGGATATGTTCAATTGTGTGTTGAAATACACCGAGACTGAAGCTGAGTTTGAAGTTTATCGGACAAGGTATGTTATTATTTACTTTGTTCAGTACCATATTTTGGTATTTTTAGTCATTTATTCCGTGTATTCAACAGGGGATAAAAATTTTGAATTTACATTATACAATTCTGAATTTTCTGTTATGTCATTATGTATTTTCTGTTACATGATTATGAACTTTCTAATATGAGATTATGAATTCACAGTTATACAATTCTGAATTTTCTGTTATGTCATTATGTATTTTCTGTTATATGATTATGAACTTTCTAATATGAGATTATGAATTTTCAGAATAATCTTAGTAAACATGTGTTTTAACTTTACAAAATATAAGTGTCATAAGAATACCTGGCTAGAGAAGCTTTATGACTGTAGGGAGAAGTAGTGTCCAGCATTCAACAAGGATTATTTCTCCGGGGGTACTTTATCTTCTCAAAGGAGTGAAACTACAAATCATTCAATTTCTAGAAGGTTGTCCAAGACTGCGGGTTTATGTGATTTTTATTCATCCTTTGTGAGTGTTATTTCTGAATGGAGAAGTAAGGAAAATGGTGAGGATTTCCGGTGTTCTCAAGGAGTACCTGCCATGATGATGGATCATGTGAAACTCCTTTCACATGCTAGAGAGGTTTATACGATTGAGATATATTTTTTGTTCGAGGAACAATTTATGAAAGGTAGCTCTTGTTATCAAGAAATGGTGGTGAATGATGGATGTAAGTGCAAGTATCACGTGTGGCGACCAGACATAGACATCATAAGGCATGAAGTAACTTTTAAGCCAATCAATTTGGATATATGTTGTAGTTGCAAGCTGTTTTCAGAATTGGGAATACTTTGCTGCCATTGCTTACGTATACTTCATGTGCACTGTGTTTCTAGTATTCCCAATAAATACATTCTAAAAAGATGGACTAAAAAGGTTGTTGAGGGTAGAAATGTGGACATTGCATCCGTGTTTTATAATGGTGGTGTCCCTTCTTCAATTTGGGCTGTTGAGATTAGTATGAAATTTCAAAGGCTTATTGTTTGTAGTCAAGATAACAATGTTGCTAGACAATTCTGTGATGAAGCTGTTGAGAATGCAAGGAAAAACATTGAAGCTGAGATTGGGGATGTGAATATTGAGGAGGGTGCTGTGTCTTCGTCAAGTGGTATTGTCCAAGACCCTTCAAGCCGGAGGAGTAAAGGTGTGGGAAATAAAAGGAGTAGTAGTGTTATTGAGAAGAAGTACAATGCAACAAGGGGGAGAAAGAGTGCTGCAAACAAGCTTGCTTCAATTACAAAGGGTCCTGTTCAATCATTGGTCTTGGAAAATATTTCAGAGATTGCTCGTGATGGATATCTCGTACATCCAAGCTCTGGGGGTTCACAATTTGTTCATTTTAATAAGAATGTAGATATAGATTGAGATTGTGTTAATAGAACTTCATATGTTTAGCAGTCATGGCCGTATTTTAAGTTTTTGTGGCCCTGTTCTGGTAAATAAATGTGGCCCTACCAAAATAACAATTTTTAAAACCAATACATGCAAGTTTCGAACCATTGACCTCAAGTTAAAATACAATAAATACACATTCTTACCATCACTTCATGGAACCTTTTTAATTCAATTGAAAAATTTTAATTTTTATTTATAAACTAGCTAGGTAAAAATTAAATATTGGACATTTAAAATTTGGGGCCCCTCTAAAATAGGGGGCCCTGTGCGGTAGCCTAGCTTGCACAGCCTAAAATTCGGCCCTGTTAGCAGTGATGTGATGAATACTATGCAAAATATTTAGATTTGAACTATATAGTTGCAATATGTTTGATGTGTACATCTGCAATTTTGCATTATATGTGTCAGATTATAAATTTTCATTTATGTGATTATGGATTTTCCTTTATGTCATTATGAATTTTTTCCTTTATGTCATTATGAACTTACAGTATGTACTTATGAATTTTATGATATTTAGATTGTGAATTATATGTGTCAGATTATGAATTTTCCTTTATGAGTTTATGAATTTTCCTTTATGTGATTATGAATTTTCCTCTATGTGATTATGAATTTACAGTATGTACTTATGAATTTTATGCTATTTAGATTATGAGAATTATGTGTCAGATTATGAATTTTCCTTTATTTGATTATGAATGTTCCTTTATGTGATTATGAATTTTCCTTTTTGTCATTATGAATGTTCCTTTAATGTTATGTAATAATGAATTTACAGTTATAATTGACAACTATACATTCATAATCTCATAATAGAAAGTTCATAATTGCATAACAGAAAATTCATAATATGGTAGTTGAAAATTCATAAATCAATATGATCCATATGTAACCTGAATTAAGAGTAATAGATTTTATATTCACAGGTGCAAAATATCTGTGCACATTACAAAATGAGAGATTCTTAATCTAGGGTACCAACAGTCAAAATTTCAAAATGAAGTATTGAAAAAATTAATGCTTCATGTTCACAACATTTTCAAACACCAAAAACAGTATAGTTTCATTTCTTCTTTGAGAGCTCCTTTCCTGCCTTCATAACCCGTGATCTTTCAGTGTTCCTACCACATGTGATAATGTTTGACGCATATTTAGCTCTTAGTTCCCAAATGAAGTCAGCCTTAAAAAAAACATTAAAATAATCAGTTTAATGGGATGTTAAAAAACAAAAAAAAAGTAAATCTAAGTTGAAATTAATATATGTTATACTCTTACATTTACACGGGTGTTTCTCCTGAACCCACTATTCCAATCTTGAACATCCCCCTTGTACGATTCCATGTGTCGCATGACATATATGCCACAGTCAATGACATTGTCAAGCTCCTTCCAGTGAAGGGCCAAGTGTGATACAGGAAGCTTTTGTATCTTGGATAGTAGAGGTGATTTCTCTGCAGTCAAGTACTCCTTTAGAGCAGTCATCTGGACAAAAATCAAACTAGTGTCATAATGATTCATAGGAAATGTGTAACAAATGATTAGAAGTTCAAGTTTAATGTTAAGTTACCAGTAGATTGGGGAAATCTTGATATTTGTCAATTTTTGTAACACCAGGAAGCAGGGTCTTGTTGTCTATGATTTCAACACTTTTTGTGATGGTGTTAATGCACATAATAAAGTAGTGTCCGTGTCGAAGCACGGGGAAAAATATCTAATGTCAAAAGAAGAAGAAGTTAGAATAGAGAAGAAAAATGTCATTACTAAATAAAAGTTGAAAGTGGGTAATTATAAATTACCAGATCAGCATCATTGATGTCAAGATTTCCAAATTTGGAAATTTCATATTGTAACCGCTCGTTGAAATTTTCCTTCCGCTTTTGAAGCGGAAGATCCTTCATCCACTGTTCAGTCGGGTCAAATTGTAGCTAAGAGGAAAAAAATACGTATTAATGATAAGTTGTGCAATATGTAATTAGTTACAAATTGTAAAATTTTCTGGTCTAAACTTACATGTACCAACGTGCTAAAATATATGCATTTTGGCTTCCCCAATGCACGTTTTGTGTTGAGGAATGTAAGCCTCAACGCCCATACATCAATGAAGGTGTTAAAAATTTCACCGCTGCTTAGTGTGGAAATCTCTCCGTGTCATAGAGAATTCATCAAAGCTAAATAGAGTTTCACTACAACACCAAAAAAGTTAGATAAATAAGTAAATAAATTAATACATGTTTATAAATGTTAAATATTCATGGAAATAAAAGTTTATTAAATAGTCATATTCAAACATACTCGATTGGATGATTTGCAGAAGCATCCATGAAGGCATAGTTTGATACAACCTTCTCTGTGGCACTAGCATTATGGACAAATGGTGCATTCTTTGTCCAAAAAGGTGATATCAAATTTAGCGGGATGTTTTTGTACTTTCGGATTGGTCTCTTTCGGACAGTGACATCTTCAACATCTGATTCGCTCTCCAGAAAATTCATATCAGAAAATTCATAATTGGATAACTGTAAATTCATAATGGCATAACAGAAAATACATAATTGCATAACAGAAAATTCATAATCTCAAAACTGTAATTTCATAAACTCAGAATAGAAAATTCATAATCTCATAGAAGAAAATTCATAATATAATATCAGAAAGTTAATAAGAGAAACATAGTATCAATAACAGGCATGACATTATGGACATTCAAAGCTGCATAGATAGTGAATAATATCATAACAGAAATAAGTTTGATGGAAATATATTATTTATTTAAGTAGAGGGGGGATGGGGAATGCCGAATAAATCCAGTCATGCTCTACATAATAAGAATATATTGTCCATCAATAACAGTTGCACATAATTCATAAACTCATAGCATAAAATTCATAATCCCATAACATAAAATTCATAATCTCATATAGAAAATTCATAATAACATAACAGAAAATTCATAACCTCAAAACTGTGAATTCATAATATCATATAAGAACATTCATAATTCATAATGACATAACATAAAATTCACAATTTCGTAACTTCATTAGTTTACCTATCAATATCATCAAGGTTAGCAGCAAGTGTAACAGCAGGTGTAGCAGCAGCAGCATCACCAGGGAGATCTTTGGGGAATGGCACCCTAATCAATGGAGTTATTTCTTGGGGTTCAGATGATGAAGCATCAGGGATAGCAGTAGGGGTAGCAGCATGTGTAACAGCAGGTGTAGTAGCAGGGGTAGCAGTAAGGGTAGCAGCATGTGTAACAGCAGGTGTAGCAGCATCAGCAGCACCAGGAGCATCTTTCACAATGTCTTGAACGAGGGTATCCAATTGCTGTTCATCCAACGTGCTTTGCTCTTGTGGTTCTTCAACCAATGGTGCCGGGGTATAAGAAATTCCCAAATCAAATGATGGAGGTTCAAACTCCATTTGCTTGGTGGTCTTTTGAAAAGCTTCAACCAAAGCATCAACGGCATTTGTGAAAGACTCCTGGCCGAAGAAGATGTCATCAAGTTGAGAGGAGGTTGGGGTTGGTGGTCTGTCTATCGTACTTGCCACGGTGATCATGGTAGAAATTCCAGAAAAGGCGGTCTTCATAACATCCACAGGGGCATTTTGTTTGCCAACTTCAGCCATTGCCTCTCCAAACTCCAAGACATCAGCAGTAAGCCGCCGTAGCACTTGTGTGACTCTATCAACACTGGATGGCGGCACAGAGACTCTTGGGACCGTCTGATGAGCATCAGGAACAGCAGGTTGGTTTGAAGTAGAAGCAATAGCATCAGGAGCATCAGGAGCAGTAGGCTTTGCAACACGCGGGATAACTTTCCCTTTACCATATCCACCCGACCTTCTTTCTGCAGAAACTCTTTGTCTTACATGCTTTTTTATCCATGCAGTTATGCTTGGATATGTTCTCTCAACTCTCATCCCTTTGAATTGGACCCGATCAAAGTAGAATAGCTACAATTTTCAAGAAAAAGGGAAAAAAAGTTATAATCATAATTCTATAACTGTAAATTCATAATCTCCTAACACAAAATTTATAATCAAATAACAGAAAATTCATAATACCATAGTAGAAAATTCATAATCCATATGAACAGTATATTTATAATATCATAACTGAAAATTCATAAATCTATAAATGCAAATTCATAATAGCATGATAGAAAATTCATAATCTGATAACAGAAAATTTATAATTGCTTAAATGAAAATTCATAATCTATTAACAGAAAATTCATAATCAAATAACAGAAAACTCATAATACCATAGTAGAAAATTCATAATCCATATGAACAGTATATTTATAATATCATAACTAAAAATTCATAATATCATAACTGAAAATTCATAAATCTATAAATGCAAATTCATAATAGCATGATAGAAAATTCATAATCTGATAACAGAAAATTTATAATTGCTTAACAGAAAATTCATAATCTATTAACAAAAAATGCATAATCTCATAAGCTCAGATAATCACACTAAGACAATGAATGCAATAAAGACATTTGATGTGTAACTAGAATTTACCAGTATGAATGTCAACGGTCCAGTAAAAAAGCCTTTACTTTTTTTCTTGTACTTCTCAATGGATTTGATAAGAGAGTTGTAGGTGTAGCTACACCAGTTGTATTCCTTTATTTCATCAACATTTACCAAAGAGTTGAGTATTCTATGGTTGCAGTCGCGTGTTTGAAATGCTCGCATCATGCACGAAACAGTCAAGACCATGAAGTCCCTTTTAAACTCTTCACCATAATCCCCTCTGATAACAATCACATCCCCCATTTTGGTTGTGATTGGGGAACCAATTTTAATATTCCATCGTGTCCTCCAACTTTGTAACAAAGCTCTGTACTCTGGTCTTCCTTGTTCATCATACTTTGGGCCCTCAACAACCACCTTTTCTCCCCGTGGAATGCCAAGAGTGTACTCTATGTCCTCTTCCTCAACAGTG